CTTCAACTCCCAGAATTCCTGAGCCAGCATGGCTCAGCTTGGAAACCTCTTCCTTTCCCCTCAACATGGCTGGCTGAGGAATTCTGGGAGTTGAAGTCCACGAGTCATAAAAGAGGCCAGGTTGCCAACCAGATCTAGCCTAATGAAGAGAAGAGATGGGGGCATGAAAGGGTAACTGTCCTCCAATACCTCAGGGGCTGCCCCAAAGAAGAGTGAGTCAAGCTATTCTCCAAAGCCCCTGAAGGCAAAGACAAGAAGCAACGGATGGAAACTCATCAAGGAGAGAAGCAATCTAGAATTAAGGAGAAACTTCCTAACAGTGAGGACAGTTAACCAATGGAACAGCTTGCCACCAGAAGAGACTGGACAGCCCTATAAAGAATACCAGAGTTGGAAGGGACCTCAGAGGTCTTCTAGTCCACCCCCTGCTCAAGCTGGAGACCCTATACCATTTGTGACAAATGACTGTCCAGTTTCTTCTTAAAAGCCTCCAGTGAAAGCAAGCCGTTCCACTGGCTAATTCTTCTCACCGTTGGGAAATTCCTCTTTAGTTCCAGGTTGCTTCTCTCCTTGATTAGTTTCCATCTGCTACTTCTTGTCCTGCCCCCAGTTCTTTTGGAGGATAGCTTGACACCCCCCCCCTTCTTTATATTGATATTGGAAGACTGCTGTCATGTCAGCCCCAATCTTTCTTCTCCTGATCTCACTCCCAGCCCAAGAGGTGGTCCAGGGGTCTCTTCACCCCACTGCGTGGCCTGGAAAGCCTTCGATTTGCTCTCCCAGGACGTTGGAGGGAAGTCAGGCAATTGCTGGTGGGGTGTGTGGACATCAGTTTGAGGCCAGTTGCCTCTTTCTCCAAGGATGTGGGGCCACCAAATCAGCCGGTCACGGCGAAAAATCCCTACGCTGGGGAAGCTGCTGTGGGGCGGCCCTTCAGCTGCCTTACCTGCCTGCAGCTGCAGCCAGCCGAATCCTTTGTGTGCCTGGAGGATGCATGAATGATTGATGGCCACCCTGAAGCTACTTCCTGGGTCACCTGTCGTTACCTATCCACCTGAGACAGGTGGCAAATAGAAAAGGAAGAACATGGAGACCGAGAGGTTGAGCCTTGAAGAGGAAGCATAGGTGAGGGACGAACGTGACTCTTCATCTCATGTTTGGGATCCTTTCCAGGTAGACGGAGGACAGAATGGCCCTGCCCACTCCCAGGTATGCCTTTTTTTTAAGATGGGGACCCTTCAAAAATGCTACTCTGGATTGTGACTGGGGGGGGGTCCTAGGGAGAGGGTTAGCTGTGGCAGCTTCTACTCTCGAATTCTTACTATAAATACTTAAGTCAGAAGAGAATACACAATATCAGAATTGGAAGGGATCTTGGAGGTCTTCTAGTCCAACCACCTCAGTCAGGAGACCTTATACAAGGGGTAGGCAACCTTGGCTCTTTTATGACTTGTGGACTTCAACTCCCAGAATTCCTGAGCCAGCCATGCTGAGGGGAAAGGGAGAGGTTTCCACGCCGAGCCAGGCTGGCTCAGGAATTCTGGGAGTAATAATAATGATGATGATGATAATAATAATAAAGTTGGAAGGGACCTTAGAGGTCATCAAGTCCAACCCCTGCTCAGGCAGGTAACCCTATACCATTTCAGACAAATGGCTGTCCAGTCTCTTCTTAAAAACTTCCAGTGTTGGAGCATTCACTGCTTCTGGAGGCAGGTCGTTCCACTGGTTAATTGTTCTCACTGTCAGGAAGTTTCTCCTTAGTTCTAGGTTGCTTCTCTCCTTGATGAGTTTCCATCTGTTGCTTCTTGTCCTGCCTTCAGGCACTTTGGAGAATAGCTTGACTCCCTCTCCTTTGGGGCAGCCCCTGAGATACTGGAAGGCTGCTATCATGTCCCCCCTGGTCCTTCTCTTCATTAAACTAGACATACCCAATTCCAGCAACTGTTCCTCATATGCTTTAGCCTCCAGTCCCCTAATCCTCTTTGTTGCTCTTCTCTGCACTCTTTCTAGAGTCTCAGCATCTTTTTTACATCGTGGTGACCAAAACTGGATGCCGTATGCAAGTGTGGCCTTACCAAGGCCTTGTAAAGTGGTATTAGTACTTCACATGATCTTGATTCTATCCCTCTGTTCATGCAGCCTAGCACTGTGTTGGCTTTTTTGGGCAGCTGCAGCACACGGCTGGCTCCTATTGAAGTAATTGTCCACTGGGACTCCAAGATCCCTCTCACAGTTGAAGTCCAAAAGAGCCAAGGTTGCCTACCACTGCCCTATACCTTCCCAGACAAATCACTACCTAGTCTCTTCTTAAAAACCTCCAGTGTTGGAGCACCCACAACTTCTGGTGGCAAGCTGTTCCACTGGCTAATTGTCCTCACTGTTCGGACGTTTCTCCTTAATTCCAGGTTGCTTTTTTCCTTGATGGGTTTCCATCCGTTGCTTCTTGTCCCACCTTCAGCTGCTTTAGAGAATTGGTTGACCTCCCCCCCCCCCGCCTCACCTGCTTCTTTGGGGCAGCCCTTCAAATACTGGAATGCTGCCATCATGTCCCCCCATCCCTCCTTTTCTCTAGACTTGACATACCCAATTGCTGCAACCATCCTTTGCATGTTTTAGCCTCCAGCCCCCTACTCATCCTTGTTGCTCTTCTCTGCCCTCTTTCTAAGGCCTGGACATCTTTTTTGTATGGCAGTGACCAGAACTGAATTCGCTTCATGATTTCCTTCCCCACCAATCAGAAATTAAACGCCAACAGGCTGAGTACATGGGCTTCTTTTAATAAAAGCAAACTATTTAGCTAAGGCATAACAAAAGAAGTCACAGAACAGAAACTGAGGTGGCCGTTCAGAAGCAGCTGCTCGTGGCTGGCCGGGAAAGCATTTTGGATACTGCAAAGAAAGTGGTGTAGTCAGACTGATGGCCAGACAGACCTTCTGGTATATCAAATGACTCTACCTTCACCAACCTGGATTAATTAGAAGGCAGGTAGACCCTGCTTGCATTAAGAGGCTCTCCAGGCTCTGTTATCAATCACAGGGAAATTTGAGCTGCCAAATGTCAAAGGCAGGGGTCTTCAAACTTGGCCATTTGATGACTTGTGGACTTCAACTCCGGCTGAGGAATTCTGGGAGTTGAAGTCCACAAGTCATCAAACGGCCAGGTTTGAAAACCCCTGGACTTCACTCCCAGAATTCCTTAGCCAGGCATGCTGGCTGAGGAATTCTGGGAGTTGAAGTCCACAAGTCATTAAACGGCCAGGTTTGAAAACCCCTGGACTTCAACTCCCAGAATTCCTTAGCCAGGCATGCTGGCTGAGGAATTCTGGGAGTTGAAGTCCACAAGTCATCAAAGAGCCAAGTTGGAAGACTCTCCCTGGACTTCAACTCGCAGAATTTCTCAGCTAGGCATGCTGGCTGAGGAATTCTGGGAGTTGGTCAACAAGTCATCAAAGGGCCAAGTTTGAAGACCCCTGGTCTAAGAGCTACACCTGCTGGGTCCCTCACGCCCACCTTGGATGCTTCAAGAACTTATAAAATAAATTGATAGACAAAGGTCTGCCCCAGATCACTTCCAGATTCTGGGGTGCCAACAACTGGAGTCCCATCAGACAGCGAAGACCCCCCCTTAGCCAAGACCACTTTGCTCCAGCCCGTGGCACAAAACTGGCCAATGTGAGATATTCAGGACTTGAGGTGGGCATCCACAAGCACTTACTTAGCAGAGTTGTTAGCCGCTTTGATCCGAGTCGGTGCCAAATGATTCAATGGTTCGGGAATTGTGTTTTGCCTGGTCACCAAATCCAGCGTGCCTGGCTGAGGAATTCTGGGAGTTGAAGTCCAGGGGTCTTCAAACTTGGCAACTTTTTAAGACTTGTGGACTTCAACTCCCAGAATTCCTCAGCCAGCGTGCCTGGCTGAGGAATTCTGGGAGTTGAAGTCCAGGGGTTTTCCAACTTGGCCCTTTTATGACTTGTGGACCTCAGCTCCCAGAATTCTGGGAGTTGAAGTCCACTAAGCTTAAAGTTGCCAGTGAAGACCCCCTGATCTGGGGGCTGTTGGTGGGGGGCCCTATGAGGACAGACGGCCCCTGGTCTCTTCCAGCTGGGCACAGCTTCTGTTCCTGCGTGGGCGTTAAATTCATAATCCTAAGTGGTTCCCTGCCCCAGGCAATTCAGGCTACACAGTTTAATATGGCTTTAAAAAACAGACTCGCTCCTGGTCAGTTTCCTTCATTGTGATTGTCTAGCAAAAAGTAGCCCTCTCTCCATCTTGCTTTCATCCTGTCATTTTAAAGATAGTCCTCGGCTTACGACCGTAATTGAACCCCCTAAATTTCTGTGGTTAGGCGAGAAAACTGTTAAGTGAGTTTTGCCCCATTTTTATGACCTTCCTTGCCACTGTTGTTAAACGAATCACTGCAGTTGATAAGTCAGTAACCCGGCTGTTAAGTGAATCTGTCTTCCCCCTTGATTTGTCACAAAGGGGATCACGTGATCTTGGGACACTGCAACCGTCCTAAGTATGAACCAGTTGCCAAGCATCTGAATTTTGATCCCGTGATCACGGGGAGGCTGCAAGCGTTGTTAAGTGTGAAAAATGGACATCAGTCACTTGTCCAGTGCCGTTGTAACTGTGAGAGATTGCTAAATGAACCGTTGTTAAGTCTAGGACAGGGGTTTCCAAACATGGCTGGCTGAGGAATACTGGGAATTGAAGTCCACAAGGGGCAAGTTGGAAGACTCCCCCTGGACTTCAACTCCCAGAATTCCTCAGCTAAGCACTGGCTGAGGAATTCTGGGAGTTGAAGTCCACAAGTCATCAAAGGGCCAAGTTGGAAGACTCCCCCTGGACTTCAACTCCCAGAATTTCTCAGCTAGGCACGCTGGCTGAGGAATTCTGGGAATTGAAGTCAACAAGGGGCAAGTTGGAAGACCCCCCCCCCCGGACTTCAACTCCCAGAATTCCTCAGCTAGGCACACTGGCTGAGGAATTCTGGGAATTGAAGTCCACAAGTCTTGAAGTGGCCATGTTTGAAGACCCCTGGTCTAGGATTACCTGTATTAGCCCCCTCAACGTTTGCTAGCTATTCCCTTCGTGCCAGTTTGTCTGCGATCTGGGAAAACCAGTTGCCTGCAGGCCCAGCTTCCATCCCCAGGGTCCACAGCTGGCAGGGGAGGATGGGCGGTGAGGAGCCACCTCTAACATTGCAGCTTCCGCACCGCCCTGGAGAACTTCTTCAGCTCCTTCTCCCCGTGTTTCCACCTCCTGACCCAGGAGAGGACGAGGCGGTTGCTGAGACGGTGGCCCATGGCCAGGACCACCGTGCCCGGCCCCCCTGCCAGCTCTTCGCAGGAGCAGGCCTCCCCGTCCACCAGCCACAGGATCGGCTTCTTCCGCTCGTCTTCGGACCAGTTGGCCTGCTTGTAAAGCGTCCGGCCACGGAGCTCTGGGATGACTTTCAGGTCGCCCCCAAGGCCGGATAAGGATTTGATGGTCATCTTTAGAGCTGAAAGAGGGAGAAGGAAGAGGGCAACTGAAGGTCAAGACTTAATACAGAATAACAGAGGGACCTCAGAGAGCCTCTAGTCCATCCTCCTGCTCGGGCAGGAGACACTGCACCGTCCCAGACAAATGGCTGTCCAGTTTCTTCTTGAAAACCTCCAGTGTTGGAGCACCCACAGCTTCTGGTGGCAAGCTGTTCCACTGGTTAATTGTTCTCCCTGTTAGGAAGTTACTCCTTAATTCCTGGTTGCTTTTCTCCTTGATTGATTCTATCATCTGTCTGTCTGTCTGTCTGTCTGTCAGTCTATCTGTCTCCATCCATCCATCCATCCATTTTTTTATCTTGTCTGTGTGTCTGTCTTTCTGTCATATCTATCTTATCTTTCTGTCTCATAGAATCAGAGAGCTGGAAGAGATCTTGAAGATCTTCTAGGCCAGGGGTCTTCCAACTTGGCCCTTTGATGACTTGTGGACTTCAACTCCCAGAATTCCTCAGCCAGGCACGCGTGCCTGGCTGAGGAATTCTGGGAGTTGAAGTCCACTAGTCATAAAAGGGCCAAGTTTGAAGACCCCTGTTCCAGTCCAATCCTATCCCATTCGAGACAACTGGCTGTCCAGTCTCTTCTTAAAAACTTCCAGTGTTGGAGCATTCACCGCTTCTAGAGGCAGATGGTTCCACTGGTTAATTGTTCTCCCTGTCAGGAAGTTTCTCCTTAGTTCTAGGTTGCTTCTCTCCTTGATTAGTTTCCACCCGTTGCTTCTTGTCCTGACTTCAGGCGCTTTGGAGAACAAGTTGACCCCCTCCTCTTCTTCGTGGCAGCCCCTCAAATATTGGAAGACTGCTATCGTGTCCCCCCTAGTCCTTCTCTTCATTCGACTGGACTTACCCAGTTCCTGCAACTGTTCCTCTTAATAGCAGAATGCCAGAAGTGACCTTGGAGGTCATCTAGTCCAACCCCCTGCTCGAGCTGGAGACCCTACACCATTTCAGACAAGTGGCTCGTGATGGAGAAGGAAGGAAGGGAGGAAGGATAATAGAGTAACAAAATAATAGAGTTGGAAGGGACCTTGGAGGTCATCTAGTCCAGCCCCCTGCTCCAGCAGGAGACCCTGTAACATTTCAGACAAGTGGCTGCCCAATCTCTTCTTAAAAGCCTCCAGTGATGGAGAAGGAAGGGTGGAAGGAAGGAAGGAAGGAAGATTAACAGAATAACAAAATAATAGAGTTGGAAGGGACCTTGGAGGTCATCTAGTCCAGCCCCCTGCTCCAGCAGGAGACCCTGTAACATTTCAGACAAGTGGCTGCTCAGTCTCTTCTTAAAAGCCTCCAGTGATGGAGAAGGAAGGAAGGAAGGAAGGAAGGAAGGAAGGAAGGAAGGAAGGAAGGAAGGAAGGAAGGAAGGAAGGAAGGAAGGCAGGCAGAATAACAGAGTTGGAAGGGACCTTGGAGGTCATCTAGTCCAACCCCCTGCTCGAGCAGCAGACCCTACCCCATTTCAGACAAACGGCTATCCAACCTTCTCCAAACTCACCAAAATCCTGGTTGCAGATTTTCTCCAAAAAATCCTTCTCGCTTGCTCCAGAATCAAGGCAGGCTGTGCATACGGTGTCTGGAAGGGGACACAAAGAGAGGTGGGGGGGGGGCAGGGTGAAAATCCTGGGGGGGGGGAATCTCCAGGAAAAGGCGAAAGGCGGAGCCCCCCCCCCTCCCAGAGGCGGCTGGTAGGAGCCACAGCAACCAAAAACAGGAGTCTGGGGGCCTCTCTTGCTACTAATTTATCTTGATTAACTTATGGGGTCAGCAAAGAGGAAGGGCCAAGCCGGAGTCACTTACCAAACCGTGTTTCTCACTTAGCAACTGCGATGATTCGCTTAACAACGGTGGCAAGAAAGGCCATAAAATGGGGCAAAATTGACTTAACCCCCGTCGCGCTTGGCCACGGAAATTTTGGGCTCAACTGTTTGTCTAAAGTCGTGGACGAAGTGCAAACGAAGG